TGAAAAGTGGGGATTCCCCAACCCCTTGGTGGTTCATATCTGGGGGGGGGGGGCAAGCAGGGTCCTCTTGCAGAGGTCAAACATTCGTGGAACAAGAGAGCAAAAAGATTGAATTTCAGTTTCTTAAAGACTCAAAATAGGCCGAAGTTTGTAAGTTCAAAGTATAGGATTATCTCTGGCAAAAACTTATTTACCTGAAGTTGGAAGGAGAGCGTACTTATCAGGGGAAGGATGCTCTTTTTTTATCTTGGCAGTAGTCTTAAGGGGGAAAAGAAGAAAGAAAAGAAAAGAGGGAAGGGAAAGGGAAGGAAAGGGAAGAAGGAAGGAAGGAAGAAAGAAAAGGAAGGAAGGGAAGGAAGGAAGGAAGGAAAAGAAGGGAAGGAAGGGAAGGGAAGAAGGAAGGAAGGAAGAAAGAAAAGGAAGGAAGGGAAGGAAGGAAAAGAAGGGAAGGAAGGGAAGGGAAGAAGGAAGGAAGAAAAGAAAGGAAGGAAAAGAAGGGAAGGAAGGGAAGGGAAGAAGGAAGGAAGGAAGAAAGAAAAGGAAGGAAGGGAAGGAAGGAAAAGAAGGGAAGGAAGGGAAGGGAAGAAGGAAGGAAGAAAAGAAAGGAAGGAAAAGAAGGGAAGGAAGGGAAGGGAAGAAGGAAGGAAGGAAGAAAAGGAAGGAAAAGAAGGGAAGGAAGGAAGGGATGGGATGGGAAGGGAAGGGAAAGGGAAGAAGGAAGGAAGGGATGGGATGGGAAGGAAGGAAAAGGAAAAAGGAAAGGAAGGAAGGGATGGAAAGGGAAAGGGAAGAAGGAAGGAAGGAAGGAAAGAAGGGATGGGATGGGATGGGAAGGAAGGAAGGAAGGAAGGAAGGAAGGAAGGAAGGAAGGAAGGAAGGAAGGAAGGAAGGAAAGAAGGGAAGGAAGGGAAGGGATGGGAAGGGAAAGGGAAGAAGGAAGGAAGGAAAGAAGGTATGGGATGGGAAGGAAGGAAGGAAAGAAGGAAAGGAAGGAAGGGAAGGGATGGGAAGGGAAAGGGAAGAAGGAAGGAAGGAAAGAAGGAAGGAAGGAAGGAAGGAAGGAAGGAGTCAGTCTATGACAATTCGCCATGGCCAACTCCCCATGGCCAACTTGCCACGGCCAACTCATTGCTGGACAAAAGTTACACTAATAACAAAGAAATGTTGGAATAGAATCATTAAAGAAAGGATGCAGAGGAAGGGACAGAATGGAATGTAGCTGACAAAAATTAAAATATTTATTTATTTATTTTAAATAACGAAACAGAATTGTTAAAAAGTTCTGCAGTGAATTGTCCTGTGGTGGGTTGGCCGTGGAGAGTTGGCCGCAACAAGTTGGCTGTGGCAAGTTGTCCCATTCCCTGGAAAGAAAAAGGAAGAAAGAAAGAAAGAAAGAGAGAGAGAGAGAGAGAGAGAGAGAGAGAGAGAGAGAGAAAGAAAGAAAGAGAAAGAAAAAGAAAGAAAGAAAGAAAGAAAGAAAGAAAGAAAGGAAAATCTTAAGATGCAAACATTGTGTTGGGGAAATGTTGAATGAGAAGGAATTCCACTGCTGTGCTGAGCAAATACCTGAATGAAAGCTTTGAATAGATAATTAGGCAGGAAGATTGTGTGTGTGTGTGGTAATTTTCACTCAGAGGAGGGAGGGACTGCAGCGACCCTGTCCTGAAAACACCGCTGTCTCTCCACCTCTGTCTTCTTCTTCTTGTTGTTAGTTGCGAAGTCGTGTCTGACCCATCGCGACCCCATGGACAACGTCTATGTACACACAAAATGTTCTATCAGTTAAGAAGGAAGCAGTTTTGAGAACAGGAGGAAGCACAGAGCCTTTAATCTGCAACGTAAACATTTATGAATGATGTTATCTAACATCTGCAAGGAACAACAAAACTTGGACAACCAAGAGCACATTAGCTCAACTCTGAGTCACAACTCCGCTCTGTAGGATTGGAGATGGACACAAGCTTCTTCCGGGGCCCAAGGCAGCTTTTGTGCTCATCTGCATGGGGGATGAAGTAGACTGTGCTGCTTCTGAGGCAAGAGTTACAGGGAGGGCTTGATTGGCAGACTGTCCTGTCATCGCCAAATGCCTCTTTTGGATTCTGCGGCTCAAAATGCGTTTGAGTGCAAAAGGGCCTTTGGAGCACACGGGATGGCAAGTTCTCTAAGCCAAAGCTGTCTTCTTTGGGATTCCACTGCAGTTGCTGAGGCAGCCACACAACAGTGGGAACAGAGGCAGCTGCAGGTGGATGCAACACGACACCCAAGGCTGCTAGAAGCCCCTTTGGGTCTTCTGAAGAATCATCTCAGCCCTCGGGCATCTTTAGGGTTCCTTTGCGCTTTCCCCGTCAGCAGAGACCCTGTTTCTGCACTTCTAGGCCACGATGTTTCAGTGGAGCAACTCAAGAAGAAAGCAGGCCAGAAGCAGGCGCTTGTATTTTAGGTCCTTTCCCACATGCGTGGATGGAAGGAGAAAAACATTCTGACTTGGCAATACGTCCTAACGAAGTGGTGGCGAACCTATGGCACGGGTGCCAGAGGCGGCACTCAGAGCCCTCTCTGTGGGCACGTGCGCCGTCGTCCCAGTCCTAGGCCTTCAGCTGGGTTTTATAAAACCTTTTCACTTTAGGCCTCTGCTGCCGTGTGCAAAACAAAAACAAAAACAAAAACAAAAAAACAGGTTCAACCAATCAGTCAATTTTAACTTCTTTTGGGAAAAAAAAAAGATCTTGCAAAGTTGGAATTGATTGATTGAACTTTTTAGTCCCACCCAGTCTGCCGTTATCACCGCAGCCATGCTCACCCAATGGGCCACATTGACCCAATGGGCTACACCCAGCCAATGGCCACACCCACCCGGCACCCGATGATGCATAAGTGGGTTTTGGGTTGCAGTTTGGACACTCGGTCTCTAAAAGGTTCGCCATCACTGTCCTAACATGTTGACTGCTCCTCCGTGCTTTAGCTATTTCAGTGGTTCTCAACCTTTTTAATGCCGCGACCCCCAACCGGTCATAAGTCGAGGACTACTCAACCGGTCGTAAGTCGAGGACTACTCAACTGGTGTGGCACCATTTGCAGAATGGGACTTTTGGAGGGCTCAGCAGGGCAGAGACAGTCTTTTGAAAGCCAGTAGAATTAGACTCTATTCAAGAGAGTCTAGTCTATTGGCTTTCAAAAGCCAATAGACTAAAAGGGAGTAGCACAGCTAAGGAAAAGGGGAAAAAAATGGCGGACTGCGTTGTTTGGCGACCCCCGTGAAATGGTCGTTCGACCCCAAATGGGGTCCCGACCCACAGGTGGAGAACCACTGAGCTATTTGGAGCAAAATAATATTTTAGTGAATAAAAGGTCAGCTTTTTAAGTATTTTTACTTTCTTCATGCTAAATTCACACGTGCTCCAGGAGAACTCCTCTTTCTTCCCATTACGATCTGGATTTCCCAGTATAATACACAGCTGCAATACTAGGAAGGACATTTTGCCCCTGGGCTGAGGAGGTGTAGGAGAACAGCCTTATCAACCTGCATCACCTCTCCCAAAGGAAGCGCCCAGGTAAAGCAGGTGTGTGGAGGAATAATTGAGCCAGAGATTTTGGAAGGAACTAGCTTGGATGGTTGAAAATTAGAAGGCTTGTTTAAAGATGTTTCGAATAATTGTTGGAAGTGTAAACAAACGCCAGGCACTTACTCTCATATCTGGCGTGTGTGTGCCCCAGTGCAAAGAAATGTTGGTTCAAGATTCATATATGGCTGGAAAAGATGACTAAAACACATTTAGAATTTAGGCCAGAATTGTTTCTGCTAGGAACATTAGGATCTAATTATGGGAAAGGGAATGAGTATTTAATATTACATATATTGACAGCTGCGAGAATAGCATTTGCCCGATACTGGAAAAATGAAGATGTACCATCTGACGGGATTATAATTGGGAAAATTTTAGAATGTGCAGAAATGGATAGATTAACGTTAGAGATTAAAGAGAAAGAAGACTCAGTCTATTATAAAACATGGGAAAACTTTTGTCAGTGGTTAACAAAATGAGATAATGAAATTGAAATGTATTAAGATGGCTGATTTTTTTTTCTTTTGATTAACTGATATGTTTTGTAATTTCTGTTATTCTTGTTGATTACAGTTACTGATTATTATATTAGCCCTGTTGAAAACTTGTAGCCGGACAATAGTTTGCTTGCTAAGGCTTGAAATGTGTTTAGAGGCAACCCCAACTCTCTCCTTGAACCCTACCCCAAATCCCACTACCTGTGTTGACCCTCCCTGTGTTGACCCTTCCTTTACCTCTATAAAACCTAATAAAATATTGTCCCAAAAAAAGAGAAAGAAAATTAGAAGGCTGAGATTTTTGATGGGAATATTCATGCTTGCTGTAAGGACAGGAGCAGCAGGACAGTTTATTTCTAGCTTGCAGCAAGATTAACTTGATTTTAAGTTAAACAGTAATCCAAAGTCCTTCTCTGGGAATGTATTCCATTCACCAAGTGGACAGTAAGGACTGGGCATCCAGCTCCCTTAAGGAAGAGCAGCTTAGACTTTTGACACATTTCAAGAATTTGCTTCGTCCCCTAGAAAGTCTATTAATTTCTAGTTAGCTGCCTCAGGAAGACCAGGATCTGGGAGTGAAGGAGGGAAGGTTCTCTGGGCAACAAGACTTGGCAAAAACCGTGGGGTCAAAAGGGTAAAGTCCTCCTGGATGTGACCCACCTCAGTTGTCCACACATCCCTGAATCGAAATTAGCTGCAGAAATATTCAAGAGCCGTGTCTCCTGTTTTCTACTGTGCGGCATTTCACAAAGAAATAGAACTCTCTTCCTGGGTTAAGTGGTGGACAAGGAGCAGATTTTATTTTATTTATGAGACTTATATACCGCTTTAAGTGCAAGCACTCTCTAAGCGGTATACACCAGTAAGCAATGTATATATATATTTACATTGCCCCCAACAATCTGGGTCCTCATTTTACCTACCCCGGAAGGATGGAAGGCTGAGTCAACCTTGAGCCGGTGAGATTTGAACCGCTGACCTGCTGAACACAGTCAGCTAAAGTGGCCTGCAATACTGCACTCTAACTGCTGCGCCACCTCGGTGGCAAGCGTGAGTCTTGCCCCTTTCTCCAGGGGTGGTGCGCCAAAGGGGCCACTTTTCTCCTGCAAATGGAAGCCTCGTCTGTAAGAAGCATCACCGGTGGTCCTGTTCAAATCTTCACATTGGCAGCCAACGAGGGGAGATGTCCGAGCTCCAAAGCCTTCTTAGCAACCTGCATGGAAGCTATGAAGGCCAGACGGCCCCATAGCTTCTAGTTCATTGAAGACGGAGGCAAGAAGAGGCAGTTTTGTGGCATCACACACACTCAGGGCTGTTCCAACGAGCTGTTTGTCCAGAGGACCACAAAGCCACAGCTTGGACAGACCGCGGTCCAGCCGGTGGCCGTGAGAGAAAATATTTGGGCTGAATGCAGCGTTTGAGAGCAGCTGGACGAAAACCAGACGTTGCTGGCTGTGGGCCTTGGCACAGGTTCCCAAGGTCTTGTGTCATTCTCCTCTTCTCATCCTTGAGCTCAGATTCATGACGGCCTTCGGTGCGTGCTCGGCATTCGGGCAGCTGGATCCTTCCCCCCCCCCCATTTGCTTGTCTTTCTTCCCGCAGGGCTTGTGACTCCTCGGATCCTGGTGGAAAATGGTGTTCCAGAAATCGCCCAACGGCGGGTGGGGCTGGGTGATAGTCCTCAGCTCCTTCTTCACCCAGTTCTTGTGCTACGGGTCTCCCTTGGCGGTTGGGGTGCTCTACGTGGAATGGTTGGACCTCTTTGGAGAAGGGAAAGGAAAGACCGCCTGGATCGGGTCCCTGGCCAGTGGCGTGGGCCTGCTCGCAAGTAAGTCTTCCTTGCAAAAAAGAGACAAGAAATAACTAACCCTTGGGTTTATTTAGAGGACCTTTGCTTTAAGGAATAAAACTCTGCTGAAAAGGGGGGGTTCACCTCTCTTCCAGTGGGAAGATCAGCTTCAGCAACAGCACTTCACTGCCAAATGACCTACAGCTGCAAACCAGCAACTTTATTACAAGGAGTTTAAGAGTAGTCATTTATTTGCCATCTGCCCCCATCAGCCTGGTTTTCTTTTCTTCAGATAATCTACTGGGGTTGTGCTGTTCTACTTAATTCTAGCAAAGAGTACAGAGAAGAGCAACAAAGATGATTAGGGGACTGGAGGCTAAAACATATAAGGAAAGGCTGCTGGAATTGGGCATGTCTAATTTAATGAAGAGAAGGATGAGGGGGGACATGATAGCAGTCTTCCAATATCTCAGGGGCTGCCCCAAAGAAGAGGGAGTCAAGCTATTCTCCAAAGCGCCTGAAGGCAGGACAAGAAGCAACGGGTGGAAACTGATCAAGGAGAGAAGCAACCTAGAACTAAGGAGAAACTTCCTGACATTTAGAACAATTAACCAGTGGAACAACCTGCCTCCAGAAGCAGTGAATGCTCCAACACTGGAAGTTTTTAAGAAGAGACTGGACAGCCATTTGTCCAAAATGGTATAGGGTTTCCTGCCTGAGCAGGGGGTTGGACTAGATGAACTCCAAGATCCCTTCCAACTTTATCATTATTATTATTATTAAAACATGGTGGCAATGATTTCTGCAGGAAGTTACTTTCCACTTCAGTTTGTCAGGAAGTCAAGTATAAGACAGATGTTGTGGTTTTCACTTTGTGAGAGAAGCCTAATCTTCGAAGCATGGGCGGCTAAAGATTGCAGCCCCTTTATATATATGTATATGTATATACATATACATTGCTGCCCAAAGCACGAAGCTAAAAACACCAGCCTGAAGATGACGAATGGGACTTCGTCGAAACGTCGCCAAGACACTTCCAATTTTACGTGGGAGAAAACCCGAACAACCAAAGACCTACATACAAATACCCACGAAAACCTCAGAAAACAAATATATATATATATATATATATATATATATATATATATATATATATATATATATATATATATATAATCTCCATTCTAATCATAGAAACAGCTACTGTATCTTGGCAAGTCTCTCGCTTTGCATACTAGATGATGCAAGAAATAGGGAATCTCTAGAAATGTATTTGCACACACAGCATCTTCGGCACAGGAAAAAATTGAAGGGCAGGATTTCACAAATTAGATAGCTCAGTTCTCTGTGTTCACCACAAGCAGAATAAATTACACTAATTTCAGAAAGAATGAAAATAGAAGTTGCCATTCGCAGAATTAGGTTTTTTTATAAGCTGTTGACTCTCCAGTATGCCTGCGTTAACCTGGCTCAGTTCAGCAGAAGGACAAAGAACTATAAAATGTAAAAATATCCAACATGGCCCATAAAAAAAAGAATCTGTTTTTAATCTCCAAAATCTTGCTCTCAAATTCTGTCGGTCAGACATTTGTAAGGGAATTGGGAAGGATGGGAATTAATATGGGATTTTGGTTTTCTGTTGCTTTTAAATATTACTGCATCCAGTTTTGATCACCACGTGTAAAAAAGATGTTGAGACTCTAGAAAGAGTACAGAGAAGAGCAAGAAAGATGATTAGACTGGAGCCTAAAACATATGAGGAACGGTTGCTGGAATTGGGTATGTCTAGCTTAATGAAGAGAAGGACCAGTGGGGACATGATAGCAGTGTTCCAGTATCTCAGGGGCTGCCACAAAGAAGAGGGAGTCAAGCTATTCCCCAAAGCACCTGAAGGCAGGACAAGAAGCAACGGATGGAAACTAATCAAGGAGAGAAGCAGCCTAGAACTAAGGAGAAACTTCCTGACAGTGAGAACAATTAACCAGTGGAACAACCTGCCTCCAGAAGTGGTAAATGCTCCAACACTGGAAGTTTTTAAGAAGAGACTGGACAGCCATTTGTCTGAAATGGTGTAGGGTTTCCAGCCTGAGCAGGGAGTTGGACTAGATGATCTCTAAGATCCCTTCCAACATTATTATTATTACTATTATTAATATTAATAATATGGGATTTTTGTTTTCTATTGCTTTTAAAGATTAATTATTGTAAACTACTTTGTCTTTTTGTTTTATAAAAGAAATGGTAGCAATGGTGATGATAATGTATTTAAATAATGTGTGAGAAGCATTGAAGGAAAATGCTTTTAAAACTTTGCAGTCTAAAAAAAAAATAGAAATATATAGAGATGCAGATTACAGGAGAAGCAATAATTGCTTCTCCATTTGCAGAGCAAAGTTGAGTAATAAGAGATTGAATAAATGATCTGGCAGAGTTGTATCTATATGCAAATTTCCTTAATGCAGGCTAGGGCTGATAAGAGGTGATTTTTTTGACAGTGCTCATTAGAGGTGATAATAACTTCTCTGGTATCCAAAAAAAAAAAAAAATGATTTTGACCTTGGTGGATTTTATAATGGTAGCACAATGACTTTGCATACCTTAAGGGTGTTAAAAATACAAAGGCTTTTTGGGATAAATGTGTGAGTCACAACAAAGGAGATGGTCACCAGCCTTTCTCTAACTGCTTTGTGGTAAAAATAGATTTAAAAGTGAAAACATGAATGCACTGGAAGTTTGTAGGTTTAGCAGGTCTTGCAAGCAAGGATGAATAAAAGAGCAAGAACCGGTGGGGAAGAAGAAGAAGTGAGTGAGGAATGGAAATAGACCATCCCCATGAATAGCAGGGATAAGTGTGAATATGTCTAGTTTAATGAAGAGAAGACGAGGGGGAACATGATAGCTGTGTTCCAATATCTCAGGGGCTGCCCCAAAGAAGAGGGAGTCAAGCTATTCTCCAAAGCGCCTGAAGGCAGTACAAGAAGCAATGGATGGAAACTAATCAAGGAGAGAAGCAACCTAGAACTAAGGAGGAACTCCCAGAATTCCTGAGCCAGCCACGCTGAGGGGAAAGGGAGAGGTTTCCAAGATGAGCCATGCTGGCTCAGGAATTCTGGGAGTTGAAGTCCACGAGTCATAAAAGAGCCAAGGTGGCCTACCTCTCCCTTTCCCCTCAGCGTGGCTGGCTCAGGAATTCTGGGAGTTGAAGTCCATGAGTCATAAAAGAGCCAAGGTGGCCTACCCATGAGCTAGAGTTTTCCTTTTTGGATTGAAGAGAGGTCAACCAATCTCTTGATCGACTCCCTTTTTTAATAATTCAAAAATAAGATTGTTCCTGTCTTTTTCTCTCCCCTCCCCCCGTCCATCCCCCGATTGTTCTCATGAAGGTCCCATCTGCAGCACTTGTGTCTCTGCTTTCGGCGCACGGCCAGTGACCATCTTCAGTAGTTTCATGGTTGCAGGAGGCCTGATGATGAGCAGCTTTGCACCCAATATCTACTTCCTTTTTTGTTCTTATGGAATTATTGTCGGTAAGAAAATTCACCAGGTCCTCTTTGGCCCCACCAGATAGCAAGAGAACCAAATGCTAAGGAGTTAAAGGCATCTTGTGGAAGGTGGAGTTTAAAACCTGGACTTTAAACCTGGACTCTAATCTTCCCTAGTGGGTGGCTGAATTTTCAAGAGACTTGTGGGGCTCCAGAATTTGCCTGATGGATGGAGCCATAGAGTTTGGGGAACCTTCCAGACTAGTTTTCTGTATCCTTTCAGTGAAAATAACGGTCTAGACCAGGGGTAGAAGGAGAAAGCCTCAGAAATGAAAGTAACTAAATTTTACCAGAATTGGGTGACTAATCAAGGAAAATGAAGTCCGGAGTTTTAATTGGTTCCAGTTTCCAAGATACGGACTGGAAATTGCACCAAAATAATTCAAAATTACGAGGGGAATGTGCGATTAGGCTCCATAACTTTTCTACAAATAGTGATATAGCAATGAGAATGGTGCCACGCCAACCCTTATAAATTTATCTTTTTATCGATAACAATACAACATAACTTTCCATTCATGTATTGGTTTTTCATGTAACAGTTTCATGCTTTTTTCACTCTGCAAGAGGTTCCACTGTTGTAATCTGGAGCCCAATAGCTCTGCCTTAGTCTTTGGCTATTCCAAATCTCTGACCAGGTCATTTAGTTGACTCTGTGAAATAAGATGTGGTTCAGGCGGGTGGGCTAAAGTTTAGGTCTGCTGACATAGATGGCCCAGGATCAGCTGCATCCTGTTCATCGTCTTTCTTATCCCCTGAGTGTAGAGAGTAGGATTCTGGTGGATCTGAAATTCGCAAGTCCTCACCATGGGGAACAGGACGCAGTGTGGCTGGAATGTTTGGCTATTCCATGGTCCACTTCTTCTTTCCTGAGATCCCTTTTGCAATTGGGGGAACCATGCAAAAATAGCAGTGTCTACTATGAATTGGTGAGTTCCTTTCACACCGTTGGGACTGAAAAAGGCATGGACTTTTTCTTCTTGTTTAGCCAATGACACCGATAAGTTGCACATGTAATGCAACAATAACGAGGCGCCCAACTCTTGTGTGATCCCTTATTTTGCATCCAAAATATAGGTGGTACGCCTTTTTTACCACTACTATCACACTGCATTTTTGAGATGCAAATGTAACCTCACCACAACTGTAGCAGAAGATTTACACAGTTGTTTACACAGTTTTGAGGCTTCTTGGCTCCTGAAGGAAAATATCACGCAACCGTTCCTTGAAAATGTTAGGACACGATACTTTCACAAGCCACCAGAGGTAACTATATGATGCGTAGGTCTGATCAAGACAAATGTGCCTTGCAATAAAAGAACAATAAATTACAGTTAGGTAATAATCTTTGGTCTCCATGTGATACCATTTTCATTGTTCTACCATACTTTGCCGAGACGTTACGAGGCGTCATGATCATTAGACGCCTCCCTTCCTTGTAGGCAAATACACTCGCCTGTGTATAAATCTTTCTTGTGAAATATCTTGAAAACGTTAGCCAACCGGCACCTTTACCACCTCTTTTCTAATTCACCTAATCAAAATACGTAAGAATGAACCCATTTTATCTCGGAGGTCGATAATTTCCCAAAATTTGTAGACTAGTGAAATTAATCAAAGTAGTCAAGAGTACTGGGGCACTGATTACATGCCATAAACTTTTCTATTCCTTTAGGACTTGGATGTGGCTTATTGTACACGGCCACCGTCACAATCACGTGCCAATACTTCGACAAACGTAGAGGCCTTGCACTCGGTCTCATTTCCACAGGTAGGTTCTTGTAGCGGGCATTGATCCCTGGGTGGGAATGAACTTACGCGGTCCTTTGGTTGACGGCGATTATATCTCCCAAACGCCAAAATTTGGATTTTGCATTTATCACACAGTTAAACGTTACTTCTAATCAGTTTCAGGCTAGTCCTCCCCTTCCATAATTTTGTCATGAAGACTCTGCCGGTCCTTGGAATGAGCTAGATTTTGATAGGATAATTAAAAAAAGAGAGACAGAGAATGGGTGATCTGGTTCCGTCCTTGCTTTCTTCTAGCCTCTGTGGAAACACCAATTTTGAAAACAACTGTTGGCCCTTTGATGTTGTTGCTCTGCTCTGCAGCTTTTTACATTACTTTTACATTATTTGTGACACTGGCAGCCAAGGCACAGCAGACGGTGACATGGATCTACTGACCATGCGCTTCTCTTCTTCCAGGATCGAGCATTGGCCTTTTCATCTATGCTGCCTTACAGAAAGAGCTGATTGAACTGTATGGGTTGGATGGCTGCCTGCTGATCATTGGCGCGCTCTCTCTAAACATCCGAGCCTGTGGCAGCCTGATGAGGCCTCTGTCGGTGGCCCAGAAGCCCAACCTGGAGAAGATTCCGGATCAATACCTCATTTATAACGGAAAAGAGAAGCCCTCTCATGAGGAACACATCACCATACTTGAGAAGGCCCAGAGTGAAGGGAAAGGGGAGAATCAGGAGGTGGGCAGTGACCGCCAACCAAATGGCCTCCCAGTTCAGAGCCAGCTGCTCTCGGCCTCCCCCAGAGAGTCCGAGAGCTACCCAAAGAAAGTCTCGGAACAAACGTACCTGTGCAAACAACTGGCTATGCAGAAATGGGGCCTGTATTTAAGTTACTGGGAGGACACCCTGAGTCTTTTTAAAAACAAAGTCTTTTCCGCCCTGTTTATTGCCATCTTCCTCTTTGACGTTGGCGGCTTCCCTCCTTCGTTGCTCATGGAGGACGTGGCGAGGAGCTCAAATGTCGTGGAGGGGGACTGCATCATCCCTCTGATCTCCATCATCGGCATTATGACCGCTGTGGGCAAGCTGGCCCTGGGCGTCCTGGCAGATGTAGACTGGATTAATGCTTTGTATCTCTACATCCTGACGTTGATCTTGACGGCAGCAGCCCTGGTGTTAATTCCCTTCGCCCAAAGCTACAGTGCTCTGGCAATCCTTTCGGGGGTTTTAGGGTTCCTGGCAGGAAACTGGTCGATTTTCCCCTATATCACAACCCAGACGGTGGGAATCGAGAAACTGACCCATGCCTATGGGATATTGATGTTTTTCGCGGGACTTGGAAACAGCCTGGGACCCCCAATTGTAGGTAAGTCGGCATTTCAGCCAGATACCATTCCTTCTTTTCAAAAAAGGCCTCCATCTACAGAACCTGTTAGTGGAGATGTAGCGTTGTTGTTGTTGTGAAGTCATGTCTGACCCATCGCAACCCCATGGACAACGTTCCTCCAGGCCTTCCTGTCCTCTACCATCTTTTGGAGACCATTTAAGCTCACGCCTCCTGCTTCAGTGACTCCATCCAGCCACCTCAGTCTCTGTCATCCCCTTCTTCTCTTGCCCTCAATCTTTCCCAGCATTAGGCTCTTCTCCAGTGAGTCCTTCCTTCTCATTAGGTGGCCAAAGTACTTGAGTTTCAACTTCAGGATCTGGCCTTCTAAAGAGCAGTCAGGGTTGATCTCCTCTAGGACTGACCGGTTTGATCGCCTTGCAGTCCAGGGGACTCGCAGGAGTCTTCTCCAGCACCAGAGTTCAAAGGCCTCAATTCGTTGGCGCTCAGCCTTTCTTATGGTCCAACTTTCACAGCCATACATTGCAACTGGGAAAACCATGGCCTTGACTATACGTACTTTTGTTGGCAGGATGATGTCTCTGCTTTTTAGTATGCTGAGATGTAGCATTACTCAGTTACAATTGACAAGTGCGGCACTATATTCTCAGTATCCTTAAAAACTCATATCCTGGTTGGTGCTCCATACAGTCCTATCAATCCTTTCTATCTCTATGATACAACAGCCACCAGGAGCGGAGCCATCGGCTGCCATTGTGGCTTGTCGATGGCTTGGGTTCAAAGCACTGGCATCCTTGACTGGCAGTTTCCTGACCAATCATGCTCTGGTGTGACATTTTTATGGAAGAGGAAACCTCCTTTGATGCCACGGTGTGAGACAAGAAGGCTTGGATCTGTTTTTTGGCATCTCTTTCTGTTCTCTTTCAGGTTGGTTTTATGACTGGACTGCTTCTTATGACGTGGCCTTCTACTTCAGTGGCCTGTGTGTGCTCTTCGGAGGGCTCCTCCTCCTTGTGGCCGTGTTGCCTTGTTGGCGTGGAACAAAACCTACCATCAGCCCAAACCCCAAACACTTATTCCTCCACAGCTGTCTCCGGAGTGTCAATGACCGTATGGAATAGTTGCTGCTGTTTTGATACTGATACTTTTAGTAAATACTTTTGCATCTATTTATAAAGGTTTTTAAGACACTTTTGATACCTCCTTGAAACATTTGGACCTCTGAGCCAAAACATCAAGTCCTGGCCACTGCAGCTAAATTCCAACAGCACAATGGGGTCTTCTGTCTTGCCGTTGCCCATAATCGGCAAAATGCTGCTTGCGCCGGATTGCAACTGACCAAGAGACTTTTAAGATGCAGTGAAGCTCCGCTCTTGAGGTGGAGCTTTTCTTGACGAGCTTCCCACTCCCCATTCCTGTTCCGGAGGCTGAGTGTGCAAGCCCTGGCAAGTGTGCAAAGTGCTTGGATCTAGAACCAGCATATTCAGTTTCCTAAATGAGGTTCCTCCTCTCACCCACATTGTATTGTACTACAGTTTTGCTAAGTATTTTCTGGCGCAACCAATGTATTTTATACACATTTTCATGTAATCCTTGTACTTCATTTCGGCCAGGTTGGCACAGTACTTGCTTCCCTCTTCAGGAATCTTAATGCTATTTGGTTGGGAGAGGCTACGTCACTCTGAGTGTCATGAAAGTAATTGAAGATGCTGTTTTCTCTGAGGGATCTTGTGGGTGGCCAAAAGATCCCATGATCTATGAAATAAACAGCACAACAAGAATGTAGCATTTAAGACCAAGGGAGATGTTGAATGGAAAAAAAAAAAAGTTACTGCATATTCTATCGGGAGCTGTTACAAATTATTCAACCGAATTCTATAAAAACCAAGGAATACAATTTATTAAAGAAACCACAAACCATAGAGCTGAAACGTTGGTTTTATTTATTTTACAAATTCGAGGCAAGATTTCATCAGGGATCTTACAACATTGCAATGTGGCGAAACGTCTATTAAGAACATTTAAGCTCTTTAGTCCATTACATTAGAAGAAAAAAAAAAACCACATCTCTAAAGCTTCCAAAGAACTTAACTCTTGAAATTTTCCTTGAAATATGAAAGATGGACTCAGTTTAAATCTGACCGGGTTGTTCTAAAATGGTTTATTATTTCATTTAACAGGATATAGGCTTCCTAGAGCAGTGATTCTCAACCTGTGGGTCGGGACCCCATTTGGGGTTGAACGACCATTTCACGGGGGTCGCCAAACAACGCAGTCTGCCATTTTTTCCCCCTTTTCCTTAGCTGTGCTACTCCCTTTTATTCTATTGGCTTTTGAAAGCCAATAGAATAGACTCTCTTGAATAGAGTCTAATTCTATTGGCTTTCAAAAGCCAATAGGAATTGTCCAGGCTGTCTCTGCCCTGCTGAGCCCGCCCAAAGTCCCATTCTGCAAATGGTGCTGCACCAGTTGAGTAGTCCTCGACTTACGACCGGTTGAGTAGTCCTCGACTTATGACCGGTTGGGGGTCGCGGCATTAAAAAGGTTGAGAACCACTGTCCTAGAGAAAAAAAAATGGGATACCAGGCAGATAAATCAATGAGCTGGCTGAGGAAAGAGCAGTCTATACAAATCCGGGATGGCAGTCTTGCCTTGGGCAGTGAGTTGGACTAGAGCAGGGATAGGCCACCTTGGCTCTTTTATGATTCGTGGACTTTAACTCCCAGAATTCCTGAGCCAGCCATGCTGAGGGAAAAGGGAGAGGTTTCCAAGTTGAGCCATGCCGGCTCAGGAATTCTGGGAGTTGAAGTCCACGAGTCATGAGGGGGCTAGTTCCCCCATGTTGGCTCAGGAATTCTGGAGCTGAAGTCCATGAGTCATAAAAGAGCCGAGGTTGTCTACCCCAGGACTAGAAGACCTCCAAGGTCCCAGCCGTGGGATTCTAGGATTCTTTATGAATAGCAATAGGGTTGCTGGAGGGAGGCAATTCAGCTATTGAATCCTCTGGAGAAATAAATGGGGCTTTCGTTGCAAGTTCATGTAGCTTACTCAGTTGCATTTATTGATCACGTTCATTGTTGTCGATTATTATTGTAAGGATAACATGGATATGGATAGGTATGTAAAAGAAAAGCCGTTTGGTAAGGAAGAGGTTTATTTTTTTAGTCAAGGAGCATACAATAGTCAGGAGAGCAATTATGAAGCCTATGGGCCAGATTTCTCCATGGTGCATCACATTTACACGACACCTAGCTTGTCTCTGGCCCTGTTCCAGCTGTGCATTCATGTAAGTCAAAATCATTTGAGCCCTGTTAAAAAGCAACAAAGGGGACTTTCAGTCGCATTTACAATAGTGGTCAAAATTGTGGAAAGCTTTTGGGAAAAGCCTACAGTAGAAATGCCACCTTTGGTTAAGCTTCCACCAATTTTTCTTCCAATTTCTTTATAACTGTAGCCTTGTTCACTTAATAATACTATTTTACATCACTTTCTGGGCGACCAGTCAACTCTTTACACCATGACTTTAATTTTATTACGTTTTGCAAGCTCACTAAATGAAAGAACACAAAAAAAACCCCAACCATCTTGACAGCCATCACATAACACCCTGACAAATGTCCTCCTCTCAGCTTCAATACAGGACATCAATCACTGAATCCTGCTATGATCCGATTGACTCATTGCCAAAACAAGATGACACCCGATTGGCTCTCTAAACACTCATGCTCATTGGCTACCATCAGACGAAGGAAAGCTACCTGATATCAACCTGAGCAAGTTGTGCTTCCTTTTTCTGGTTATTTGGCTATAACTTTTTATAGAATACAGTACAGATAATTGAACAAACTTTGTTGTGTTACATTCCTGATTAAATTATCTTTCCATTGATATATAATTTTATGGTACTACTTCAAAAAAAAGTGGTGTTATTAGCCATCAAACCTCAAAAATACACTTTTCCCAAAAGGTTTCCACAGTTTTGGGCACTACTGTAGGTCTTTGGCTCCTCTCTCCCTGCAGAGCAGTTGATGATCGTCTCTGATTTGTGATTGTGTCTGGTTCTACAGACCTTGAAATGCTGAGAACAGCTCTTGGGGCGAGCGAGGTCCTCTCCATGGAGTATCACACCACCCGGACAACTGGCCGAGAGGCAGATACAAAGATCAATTTGCTCCCGTGTCAGATACTTCAGGACTGAGTCTGCAATCAGCCCCCTGAACTGACAGCATGAGAGTGGAACAAGCCAGGAGCTGACATGGAACTGACTTGTGGGATGTGTTCAGTTTGTGTGATACCAGGGGAGGCTCCTCCTCTCTCCCATTTATCAAGAGCTGTGCAATTAACATCTGTGGCCCACCGAGTGCTCTGCTTTCGGAGAGACTTCCTTTATCCACACATAATGCCTAATAACCAAAATGTAGCCTGTGGTTATGTTACAATTGGCCAGAGAGACAAGCATCCATCTCCAAAGATGCACGCACGATGCGCACAAACAACTGGCAGAGGTTAAATCATACCACAGTGGCCTCCAAATTGACTTTTTTTTTTGGACCGTACACCTGATGGCTTAGCATTCCCCAAACTGAAATTCTTGCTAGGTCTTGGGCCCCAACTGTTCCCTTTCCCTAACAAACTATAGATCTAAAAAGTGACATTGCTCCTTCACAGAGTGAAGACTCTGGAAAGGGCCCCACCATTGAGTTATTTCTGCCTTCCTTCTGCACCAGGGCTCCACTTTGCCACTCCACGTAATCCTGTCAGTGCCTACTCGGTGTCCTGCTGCCCAGAGAACACATTACCGGACGTCATTGCTTCCTGGTGTGTATGTGTATGCGGGATGCCATGGTAACATCCATAGCTTTGTCATTCCCAAGGAGTTTTTGTCCAAGCGTTCAGTCAGTAAGGAGAGTATCCTAGGCATACGTAAATCTGGTGCTGCTAAGGACTGCCTTTGTTTGTTTACTTTAGCACCTGTCAAGTCTACCTGGAAGGATCAATTTCTACAAAGCCCCAGCCCTGCTGAGTTGCTGACAGGCAGAGGAGCACCATGTTTGGACCCTGGGCCTTCTCTTCTAAGAGAACTTCTGATTCAGACATAATATGGGGACCGGGGCCTCCATTTCCCTCTGTGTAAGTGCAGTGTAACTCCTTGGGCCTAACTTGAGGGTTTGCAAAAGCACCTTCTGAGTAGTTAAGGGCAGAAGGCTGCTGCGAACGACTGATTTATTTCAAGAAGACTCAGGGTTGCTTTTGTCAGTCCTGCTCGGTTACTATCTGTAAACGTTCTCCCTTTTATTTTATTCCCCCCCTCCCTTGTCAATATTTTGTCTTTCATGTGTTGATTTTAAGAATGTTTACTTAGGAATATGATTTATTTCTATGGGTCTGATTTATTTCAGATAACTACTAAAAGGCAATGAGATTTACCTTAGTATATTATAACAATCTATATTCCTTTTTTCGTACTGCAGTGAGTAGAGCTCATGTTTCATGATCAAAATCTAACTTTAAGTTAATTACTGATGAACGTTTCAGCTGCGTTTTCTTTCTTTTTTTAATATTTGAGAGATATTGCATTGCAGTACAGCCTTGTTCTACTTGGACTCCTTTGGAAATTCACGTGACAGCTGTTCGACTGAGATTTGACCTTAAACCCTGGAACTGTCCCTTGAATGTGACAGCCAGTTTTTATTTTGCTATCTCAGCCTTGAGAGGAGAATATACTGGATTGGGTCCAGATGCTCTGTTTCATGCAGAAAAGCAATTTCTGTTCACAGAAGGATGCTTTCCAAGCCTGAAAAACAATTAAATGAATGGAATTAAACATTTGGATTCACTTCAGTTTAATATTGCTCATCAAAGCAATATTGACTCCAAAACAGAATCATGCCCATAATAACAGAATTATATACCCTAGCTTTCATTTCAATAGCTTGGTGCTCATGAGAGAATTAGAGAGGCAACATGGAGGAGTGGTAAAAGTGTTGGACTTGGAATGAGGACACCCAGGTTCTAGGTCCTCCAAGGCCATGGAGACCCTATACCATTCCAGGCAAATGGCTGTCCAGTCTCTTCTTAAAAGCCTGGAATTAAAGAGATACTTCCTAACAGTGAGGACAATTAACCAGTGGAACAGCTTGCCTCCTGAAGTTGTGGTTGCTTCATCACTGGAGGTGTTTAAGAAGAGACTGGACAGCCATTTGTCTGGAAGTGCAGTGATGGCGAACCTTTTAGAGATTGAGTGCCCAAACTGCAACCCAAAACCCATTTATGCATCGTCGAGTGCCGGGTGGGTGTGGCCCATTGGCTGGGTGTGACCTATTGGCTGGGTGTGGCCCATTGGGTGGGCATGGCTGTGATGGTAACAGCAGACTGGGTGGGACTAAAAAGTTCAATCAATCAATTCCAACTTTGCAAGACCTTTTTTTTCCCGCGAGATGTTGAAATTGATTGAACCTTTTTTTTTTTTGGCACATGGCGGCGGAGGCCTAAAGCGAAAAAGTTTTATAAAACCCAGCTGAAGGCCTAGGACTGGGGTGATGGCATGCGTGCCCACAGAGAAGGCTCTGAGTGCCACCTCTGGCACCCGTGCCATAGGTTCACCACCACTGGTATAGTGTCTCCTGCTTGAGCAAGGTTAGACTAGAACAGGGGTAGGCAACCTTGGCTCTTTTATGACTCGTGGACTTCAACTCCCAGAATTCCTGAGCCAGCATGGGGGAACTATGGCCCCCTCATGAGTCGGGGACTTCAACTCCCAGAATTCCTGAGCCAGCATGGCTCAGCTTGGAAACCTCTGCCTTTTCCCTCAGCATGGCTGGCTCAGGAATTCTGGGAGTTGAAGTCCACCAGTCATAAAAGAGCCGAGGTTGCCTACCCCTGTGGTAGGCCCATCATTGGTGAGGTCCTTGAGCTAATTCAGCTCTCTGTGCATTGCCCCTGGACTGCCTGTTTATACAGACCCTTGATCTTCAACCACAACTCCTTGCCCACCATCTGGGGTAGGGGTAGGCAACCTTGGCTCTTTTATGACTTGTGGACTTCAACTCCCAGAATTCCTGAGCCGGCATGGCTCAGCTTGGAAACCTCTCCCTTTCCCCTCAGCATGGCTGGCTCAGGAATTCTGGGAGTTGAAGTCCACGAGTCATACAAGAGCCAAGGTGGCCTACCCTTGGACTAGAAGATCCCTTCCAACTCAGTTATTCTGATGTCACCAGATATATGGTACCCTAACTTTCTCACTAACCTTTAAAGTATTAATTGATGGTCTGGATAAACCCTTAAAAATCCTGGAGACTTAGTGAAATAACTGCAACTGGAGCAAGGCAAATATTGTTTTGTCCTCAAAAGGGGTGAATGGGAAAGAGGTGTCAAGAAGCTGGGAAGCTTTGCCAACATGAATGATGAATAAACTAAGCAACAAACTGCAAAACAATAAATTTGGCATCAGGAACAATGGCAGATCTTTAAAAGATGGATGCAACAAGGTGGCATGAACCAAAAAGTGTCAAAATAATTGTTTCCAGAAAAGAACTTATTTGTATTTTTTTTTTTTTAACTTGGGAGCTCTGTTTAGTCAATTGTGGTAATCCTGCAGATGTACTATATCTTGTTTTCCAGAAACGCTTAGGAAAGGCTGATTTAATCCCATCCTAAATGTATGCTTGATTAAGACTTTCTCTGTTATCATTAACAAGTTTGCATGTGGACCACAGTCATACATTGTATGTATACAAATCAAGCAAGAAGGCCGATCAATGTAATACAAGGCATACAGGAGATAAATTAATTATCTGCATTTTACACCAAGTATGGGGTGCAGGAATAAATATAGTAAAACTGTAGGTTTTTATAAACTTGAATCTTCTTATGCAGTAAGGTTATTTCATTTAAAATATTAATTGGCTGGGGGAAGATCAGGTTACAAGGCATACAACATCTTTGCCCAAGAAGATACAGACTACTATCAAATTTAGAATTTATTTTATTTTTGGTTAGAGAAAAGAATGAAGGATTACGAATTGAACATGTATTAGCTTAGCAAACTCCAGACAACTTTGTTGATTGGAAAAATTAACATATGTTGATGAAAAAAAAATTAATAATAAATGAATAAATAAATAAAAACATCTTTGCCCAAGTTAGTGGAACCAGCAAATATCCCCCCCTTCAATTATTTTCTGTTCATGTTGCGTGCCACATCAATCCATGCCCAACAATTTTCAAGGCTCATAACTCAGTTCCATATCCCTGTTGTTCTAACCTTGATATTTTATAATTTTTAAAAATTTATGATGCAAGGGCAAACAGCACCATTATTTCTCTTTGCAGCAATCGTTGTCATCTGTAAAACTGAAGCAAGGTGGAAATAAAATTGGACCGGAGCCTCAAAGAATTTTTGGTTCTCCCCTTGATATAGTCGCCAAGGATACGACACACCGGTCTGTTCCTTTAGTTGTCCAACACACAGTGGAATATTTAGAAGAGTTTGGTAAGTCCGTGATTCCACTTGGTCGTGACCATTTTTTTTTCCCTTTCGGAAGGAAATCCTCAACACAACAAAGTGTGCTTGCACTTGGTCAGGAAATGGCAGGTACTTTGGGGGTTAATATCGTTGGTGATGGTGTCCCTTCAATGTCACTGGTGACCGGTGGCCCTGGACATCTTCTGCAATGATTGTCCATAGACAGTTCTGAGTTCTCAGGTAAATCCTAACCTTATCCAGATCCCAAATCAAGCAGAATCCACAAATTCAAGGATCTACTCTAATAATCAAATGCGGATTATTATAATCGGGTAGTTCTCCTCCCAAGGACATTTCTGGATGGAGAAGAAAACCGCTCCTCCTATGAAAACCTCATGTTTGACATGTCTGGTTTAGAGTTTAAGTTATGGCAGATCCATCACTGCTGCACCAGTTGAGTAGTCCTCGACTTACGACTGGTTGAGTAGTCCTTGACTTACGACCAGTTGGGGGTTGTGGCATTAGAAAGGTTGAGAACCACTGCTCTACAGCATTTCACTGTCTCGTGCAAGACATTTGTAGAAGGAAATGTTTCCTTCAAAGGAAGGAAGCAGTCTTTAAAAGAAAATCAGAATCAGGAGGAGGAAGGTCTCCTTTCTTCCCCTTAATATAATTATGTTTTTAAATAATTTTATGAATTTGGGGGTTCCTCCAAACCTACTCGTCTCTTCTATTTATCCGTGGGTCCTCTTGGAACCCTATAAGAATGCATTCATTATTAATAATATACAGGATGTTGCGTCTTCTCCTAGGGCTAAATCACAAAGGCCTCTTTCGGATCAATGGATCAGCAGCCAAAATCAGGGCGCTTAGATTAAAGTATGATCAAGGAGAAGAAGTTGACCTTGTTAAGGAAGGAGATATCAACTCTGTTGCCAGCATCCTTAAACTGTTCCTGAATCAGCTGCCAACCGCTGTTTTCCCGGAGGAACTGTGCACAGATATTTGGGCCATTTTTGAAGGTACAGCAAGTGCATAAGACACCTTTTCTTCTTATTTTGATGCAAGGAAGTATGATGTCTCCTCCTCCTCGTTATTAAATTTCCACCACAGTTAAATCTGGTGTTTTATGAACCAAGACTACTGTTTGTATTTGGGAATCTCATTTGTTGTTGTTGTTAGTTGCAAAGTCGTGTCCGACCCATCGCAACCCCATGGACAACGTTCCTCCAGGCCTTCCTGTCCTCTACCATCTTCTGGAGAATCCTTTAAGCTCACACCTACTGCTTCAGTGACTCCATCCAGCCAACTCATTCTCTGTCGTCCCATTCTTCTATTGCCCTCAATCTTTCCCAGCATTAGGCTCTCCTCCAGTGAGTCCTTCCTTCTCATTAGGTAACCAAAGTATTTGAGGATCTGGCCTTCTAAAGAGCAGTTAGGGTTGATCTCCTCTAGGACTGACCGGTTTGATTGCCTTGCAGTCCAGGGGACTCGCAGGAGTCTTCTCCAACACCATAGTTCAAAGGCCTCAATTCTTTGGCGCTCAGCCTTTCTTATGGTCTCATATAATAAAACAACTGGAGCACCACTTGGACACCATTGGCATTGACAAATTCGCTATTAGTCAATTGCAAAAGGCGGCCTTACTAGGAACTGCTTCCATCCTGCGACGATACCTGTAATACCATCAAACATCAACATCTGCCTATCCCAGGTCCTGGGTAAGGACTCGATAGGTAGACAAAAATGCCAAATCCAGTCTGAACATCTGGCTGACTGTGCGATGATCCATAATAATTTCATAACAAAAATGTTATTCTGGGCCACGAACAAGAATTTAAAGTCATGCCCATTTCTGCACGCTGGCTTATTGTTACATGCATCTAACATTTACTTAAACTCCAATATTGAATCCCTCTTCCCTCGACTATGTGCTCTCTTATCTTGTCTTTTTTAACCCCCATTCACTTCCTTTAGCCTTGCATAGTCTAATAGACTCTCTAAACATGGAGCTTGGTCAACGATTCCCCAATGATCTCTCTAAAGCAGTGGTTCTCAACCTGTGGGTTGGGACCCCATTTGGGGTCGAACGACCATTTCACGGGGGTCGCCAAACAATGCAGTCCGCCATTTTTTCCCCCCTTTTCCTTAGCTGTGCTACTCCATTTTATTCTACTGGCTTTTGAAAGCCAATAGAATAGACTCTCTTGAATAGAGTCTAATTCTATTAGCTTTCAAAAGCCAATAGGAATTGTCCAGGCTGTCTCTGCCCTGCTGAGCCCGCCAAAAGTCCCATTCTGCAAACGGTGCTGCACCAGTTGAGTAGTCCTCGACTTACGACTGGTTGGGGGGGTCGCGGCATTAAAAAGGTTGAGAACCACTGCTCTAAAGACATTTGCACAGAGTGAAATCTATATCCTTTCCTTGAAGAGAGGCCCCAAATATACTCAGGAGTCCTGCATGCAATACTTTGTTTAGGACGTGCAAGCTACCATCTCCGGGGAAGCCCAATTCAGCAAGGCTTTGAGCACATGCCTTGAGAGTCAACAGTTAGGAAATACCGAACAAATTCTAACTGATGCTAATCTTTCTCTGTTAATCATTACTGTCCCATCTTTCACAGTAAACAAAAACTGCGCCACGGAGCAAACGAGATGTCTAAAAAGGCTATTAAGTCGCCTGCCGGAAGCCCACAGTCGCCTTGCTTGTTTCCTTGTTAGATTTCTCGCCAAGGTGGCTGAAAACAGTGATGTGAATCAGATGACCCTGGAGAACCTGGCCATTGTTTTTGGCCCCACATTATTCCGGTAGGAAGTTCTTTCGTTATCTCCATGTTTGCTTAAACCATCCCGAGTTGCTGTCTAATTCACCTTGAATAGTCTAATCATCTAATCATCGTTCCTGAACGAAACTGGAGGTGTTATAGGATAGCTTGATTAGAACAAGTGTTAATTTAATGTTTGGCTCTGGAATCTGCTGGGCTGCATTAACAGAGGGATAGAATCAAGATCAGGTGAAATATTAATACCACTTTACAAGGCCTTGGTAATACTGCATCCAGTTTTGGTCACCACGATGTAAAAAAGATGCTGAGACTCTAGAAAGAGTGCAGAGAAGAGCAACAAAGATGATTAGAGGTCTGGAGGCTAAAACATATAAGGAACGGTTGCTGGAATTGGGTATGTCCAGTTTAATGACACTCATTGTCATGGAGCTTTGTTGAAATAAATGTATTTTCATTTGGGTGCTTTTCCAACAGCCTGTTTTAAAAATGACTGTTTTAAAATGTCAGCTCGCTTAAAAGGCTCTACGGTTCCAAAGTTCCCATGCCCTGTTAAGTTATTACCTAGGACTGAGTGTTTGTTTTCAGTTAATCGTGGCCTAGCTTAAGCCTTAATTCTTTTAGTGTAATTAAGGATTTCCAGATTAAGCTCGAGAAAGCTTTCCCATGTGCAGTGTTTATTAAAAAAAGTTCGTTAAATCTCTTTTTACGGTCTTTTGCAAATGTGAATCATGGGTGGGTTTTCATTTTGAAAAGATGACCCAGAATGTGTCTCTTGCTAGACCAGTGGTTCTCAACCTGTGGGTCGGGACCCCATTTGGGGTCAAATGACCATTTCACGGGGGTCACCAAACCATGCTGTCTGCCATTTTTTCCCCTTTTCCCTAGCTGTCCTACTCCCTCTTATTGGTGGCCACACCCATTTGGGGGTCACCACAACATGGGGAACTGTATTATGGGGTCACGGCATTAGAAAGGTTGAGAACCACTGTGCTAGACAAAATTGGAGACAGGAATGAGTAGCTTCAGAGGGACTGAACTAAATCTCCAAAAGGTGTTAAAAAGCAGCATGTGAAGCAATTTTTCTGGGGAAAATCCAAACTTCACCGGTATGAGGGGTATGTCTAGTTTAATGAAGAGAAGGATGAGGGGGGATATGATAGCAATGTTCCAATATCTCGGGGGCTGCCATAAAGAAGAGGGAGTCAAGCTATTTTCCAAAGCGCCTGAAGGCAGGACAAGAAGCAACGGATGGAAACTAATCAAGGAGAGAAGCAACCTGGAACTAAGGAGAAACTTCCTGACAGTTAGAACAATTAACCAGTGGAACAACCTCCTTCCAGAAGCGGTGAATGCTCCAACACTGGAAGTTTTTAAGAAAAGACTGGACAGCCATTTGTCCGAAATGGTATAGGATTTTACCCTCATTCACTTCCTTTAGCCTTGCATAATCTAATAGACCATCTAATAGACTAGATGACCTCCAAGGTCTCTTCCAACTTTATTGTTGTTGTTGTTGTTATTATTATTATTATCTAAATGGGCGCTTGAAGATGCACATCAGATAATAGCAAAGTATGATATCATTTTGTGATCCAAATTGCATCTCCCACAACATTAGACTCTTTTATTCTCTCTAATAATGTCTCTCGAGAATCAATAGCAAAGCCAAACATCCTAATATTTCTTATTTTTGGGTCAAATATTGGGATCAAAAGGAGCCACGGTGGCAGAGTGCTTAGAATGCAGCCTTGCAGGTTAACTCTGGAAACAGTCTGGAGTTCAATTCTGATGAGGCTTGAACAGTGGTAGGCAACCTTGGCTCTTTTATGATTCGTGGACTTCAACTCCCAGAATTCCTGAGCCAGCATGGCTCAGCTTGGAAACCTCTCCCTTTCCCCTCAGCATGGTTGGCTCAGGGATTCTGGGAGTTGAAGTCCACACGTCATAAAAGAGCCAAGGTTGCCTACCCCTGGGCTTGAGGTTGACTCAGCCTCCCATCCTTCTGAAGTAAATAAAAGGAGGACCCAGATTGTTGGGGGCAAGATGCAAATAAAGCATACATTGTAAACCGCCCTGGCCCATCGGGTGGGCGTGGCCCATCAGCTGGGTGTGGCCCATTGGCTGGGCGTGGCTGCGGTGGTAATGGCAGACTGGGTGGGGCTAAAAAGTTCAATCAATCAATTCCAACTTTGCGAGATCTTCCCCCCCCCAGAGAAGTTGAAATTGACTGATTGATTGAACCTTTTTTTTTTTGCACACCGCGGCGGAGGCCTAAAGCGAAAAGGTTTTATAAAACCCAGCTGAAGGCCTAGGACTGGGGCAACGGTGCCCGTGCCCACAGAGAGGGCTTTGAGTGCCGCCTCTGGCACCCGTGCCATAGGTTCGCCACCACTGGTATAGAAGAATAAGTTTATTTAGAGATTAAGAATGATGTATTAACTATATGTATTAAGAGGAACAAATTGTTACAAATATTTATTCTGGAATGTTACGTTATGTCCATTTTTGTTTTTACTGTATTATAAATAAAAAACTTTAAAAAAAACGTTTCAGAATAACTGAGTTTGGGAAACATTAAACCTTTGGCATCCCATCTTCCTTGTGCTGCTCCTCCTTACTACTGCTATAAGTATCATTTTGGTTTGTATTTTCTAGAATTCCATGCAGCCCTTTGGCATACAAAAAGCAAACCCTTTGTAATGCCATGCTCCTGCATATGCTTCAGCGCCACGAGGACCTCTTTCTGGAGAGCGCCAGCAAATATTTCTCCCCAATGGAAGAGCAGTCCCAGGTAAGAGCCTCCAGGGAAGACCAGAATAAACAAATAACAGAGTTGGAAGGGACCTTGGAGGTCTTCTAGTCCAACCCCCTGCTCAAGCAAGAGGCCCTACACCAGGGATAGGCAATCTTGGCTCTTTTATGACTAGTGGACTTCAACTCCCAGAATTCCTGAGCCAGCATGGGGGAACTATGGCCCCTTCATGACTTGTGGACTTCAACTCCCAGAATTCCTCAGCCAGCATGGGGGAACTATGGCCCCTTTATGACTCGTGGACTTCAACCCCCAGAATTCCTCAGCCAGCATGGCTCAGCTTGGAAATCTCTCCCTTTCCCCTCAGCATGGCTGGCTCAGGAATTCTGGGAGTTGAAGTCCACGAGTCATAAAAGAGCCAAGGTTGCCTACCCCTGCCCTATACCATTTCAAACAAATGGTTGTCCAGTCTCTTGAAATCCTCCAGTGTTGGAGCACCCACTGTTGAACCAGTTCAAGAGATGACCATGGATTAAAATGTTTTACAGATGGCATACGACACCAGTGAGATTAGCAAAAATGTTTAGAAATACTTCAAATAACTGTTGGAAATGCAAAGAAAGACCAGGTACTTATTATCATCATATCTGGTGGACATGCCCTAAAGCAAAAAGATTCGGGGTTAAAATATATTTATGGTTGGAGAAAATGACTAAAAAAACCAATAGACTTTAAACCAGAATTGTTTTTGTTAGGAATAATAGGGAGCTAATTATGGGAAAGGCTGCAGATATTTAATACCACACGTGCTAACGGCAGCAAGAATTGTATTTGTCCAACATTGGAAAAATGAAAATTTACCAGCTGAAGAAGTACTAATTAAGAAAATTCTAGAGTGTGCAGAAATGGATAGATTGACTTTAAAGATAAAAGAGAAAGAAGACTCAGTGTACTTTAGAATATGGGATAATTTCTATCAATGGCTAGAAAAATGAGTCAGAGAGAAAGGAAGGTGATATGTAATTATGAATATATATGAGCAAGAATAAGGCTATGGAGTGATTAATTAACATACTGTTTATCATAATTAACTATTTTCTATTATTGTTTGTGAAATACATGAACCCAGACTTTATGCTGTTTGCTAAATATTTTCTATTATTGTTTGTGAAATACATGAACCCAGATTTTATGCTGTTTGCTATTTGTATTTGTATTTCACAAACAATGTTACTTGAAAAAACCCCAACCCCAACCCTAACCTTAATCCCATCCCCAATCTCACCTTATTCCTAACCACATAAAAACTAATAAAATCTATACAAAAAAAGATATGATCATGGATCTCCCTTCATCTAACTTAATATCTCCCTAGACTGTGCAGTCACTTGTGGCAGTTATGAGCACAATGAATACAGGCAAAAAAGAGGATTGGTTTTTAATGTTCCTCACAGGGAGAGCAAAAATCATCTATTTCAGAACAATAAAATAACCATCCATCCATCCATCTAAACAGCTGGATTTTGAACTAATTTTCATAATAATTTTTTATTTTTCCAAACTCTCCCCCATACATATACCGTGATATTTATCAGATGTTAACATACATTCTTTTTACATTCATATATAAGATACTTTTAATAAAATGAAGTAAATACATACACCTGACTTTTGGTGTTGCTCGCCCATTTCCCCTTTCACACTCCTTCTCTACCTTCTTTCTCCCTTTCTTCTCTTCCCTACTTCCCTCTTCTTCCTCTCCTCTTCTCTTTCCTTCACCACTCTCCTCCCCTTTCTCCCCACTTCTCCTCCTCCAACCTTCCTACTTCCTTCTCCTCTCCTTTACTCTTTTCTCTCTCCTCTCCTTTCTTCCCTCTCATCCCTCTTCAGATACAATTCAGGGGTAATGTCCGAGCAACTTCTCTCTCCAAATTTCCCTATCTGTATTATATACAATAAGATTAATTTTCTCTTACATTAATACTTCTATTTATCTAACCTTCTCGGTATATACTTCTATAAATAACTGGAGGTTGTATAAATATTTATACAACCTCCAGTTATTCAATACTGTGTTGCCTGTTGTCCTTATCTGCTCCTTCTTCTTCCATCTAAATTGATGAGGATTTTGAGCTAATTTTCCTGTTGCAGATTAAAAAGAGAAACTAGGAATACTTCTGTGATGTGATTTTAGATCTGTCTCCATATTGGGAATCTCTCCCCAACCTCAAGAGAGAGAACAACAATTCCCAAAGCCTGCATTTAGCTCTTATTTAATTAATATTATTTTTTAAAATGTTGTTTAAGTGGAATGTAACAAATACATTGCTTCAGGGCAACTGAGATTTAATTAATTCGCCCACTGTATTAAGTCAAGCATGCCTAATCTCTATAATTAATCTGGTTTAAGAGGAGAATGAAGTTTATTATATTGCAATTATAGAATCAATATTGATTGGAAAGCTAATTTGTTCAGTGGGACAGCAATGTGGAAACTACTGAGGAATATTCTAACCTTGCTTCTTAATCCGGTTTCCTGTGCATAGCTTTCTCTCAGTGTCTGTCCCTTGATCTGGAAAAACTGACCATATGGTGAGCTGCTGGTTAAACTGTTATTTAGAATGGAGGAGTTAAAGATAGAGGAAATCCATGGTTTCTAATCTGCCCGACCATTCCCACCCAGCTGTCCTGCTGAGGCATTGAGGGTCTAAGTCGCAGAACAAGGAGCTGTAGAACAGCTCACTGGATTTTGTTGTTGTTAGTTGCAAAGTCATGTCCAACCCATCGCGACCCCATGGACCACATTCCTCTAGGCCTTCCTGTCCTCTACCATCTTCTGGAGTCCATTGAAGCTCACGCCTCCTGCTTCCGTGACTCCATCCAGTCACTTCATTCTCTGCCGTCCCCTTCTTCTCTTGCCCTCCATCTTTCCCAACATTAGGCTCTTCTCCAGGGAGTCCTTCCTTCTCATTAGGTGGCCAAAGTACTTGAGTTTCAACTTCAGGATCTGGCCTTCTAAAGAGCAGTCAGGGTTGATCTCCTCTAGGACTGACCCGTTTGATCGCCTTGCAGTCCAGTGGACTCGCAGGAGTCTTCTCCAGCCCCAGAATTCAAAGGCCTCAATTCTTTGGTGCTCAGCCTTTCTTATGGTCCAACTTTCACAGCCATACATTGCAACTGGGAAAACCATGGCCTGGACTATACATACTTTTGTTGGCAGGTTGATGTCTCTGCTTTTTAGTATGCTGTCTAGATAGTCATCTACAAAGTGACATGTCCCAAAGGTGCTTTTTCAAGAGACAACTGGACTTTCTTTGTTTTTCCTTGAAGATGTTTCATTTTTCCTCTAAGAAACTTCTTCAGTTCTTCAGTTCAGAACAGAATAAGTTCTTGGATGAGAACTGAAAGGTTTTCAAAGAAAAACAAAGTCCAATTACCTCTTGAAAAATTCCTTTGGGACAACCATGACTGGAATGACTGAGAATCTCCATAAACACAAAGCAGAATGTTAGAATAGAGGCACAGGGGTTTTAGCTGATTGTGATCTTCCAGTTCAACAATTACACATTTCATTTGAAAATGCCTTCATCCTGCAGCTTTTTTTTTTTTGGGACATTTGTTGCTTTTCCACAGATTCTCCATTCTGCCTTGCCACCTCAAGACCTCACAGAACAGACAGAGGAAAAATGAATTTCAGCAGAGTATGCCCAGAGCTGTCTGGCGCCTTCCATCCATACAGTGGCAATGTTGTGTTTTTACTTTTTCTGCTCATAGCTCTGGGAAAACAGGGTCAGTCTGAGGTTACGATTTGCAAAGCATTCATCCTTTTCGGGGGCAAATTTGTTCAGTTTCCATGTCAAGCACCCTCCGTTCTGATTTATACTATCCAAAAACAGTTATTTTCGAATAATACTACAGACAGTGCAAGCTATGAGGAGAGCTCAAGCAGACATTTGGATTTAAATGCCTGCTCTTTAGATAATTTGTGCATCCTTTGAAGAACCCTTGATAGCCTTTTGAAAACAGAAGACAAACTAGCTAATGATTTCATTCCATTTCAAGTATTAGAACATGGAACAAAATTTATTTTTTTATTATTTTTTTGAATATCTTTTATTGGTTTTTTAATTTTAACAAAAAGTATTTAAGACACACCGTGGTGTTTGGGTAAACAAACATCCCAAGGGGAGGGGGAACATACAAAAACAGCTCAATTTAATACATTCACTATCATCTTTCTATTTCTCACAGATAACATAATAGATTTAATATATTCCGTTTCTAGCTTAAATTTCTATTACTACTCAACCTGTTTTAAAGCTTTATCAATTTAGAATTACCATAATCAAATATTGTTTTACATCAACAAATTATCACTTCAAATATCTCTACCAAGTATATTAAAATTCTTAATCTCTCTCAGCCCTCTTTTTATCATCAATCTCATTCATTTCTTCTTCCAATGATAACTAACTTAATTAAAAAAAATGTTAAACCTTAATTCCTTTCAATTCATTACACAAATTTCAAATTCCATTCAATTAATTATCATATCTTATCAACCACAAAGCCAAGGTTCTTTTTTCCAAATAAATTTCCATACAACAAAAAAAAACCACATATGTATATAATTGTAACTAACTTAATTAAGAAAGAGAAAAAAAAGAAAAGAAAAATCCTTTCAATTCATTACACAAACTTCAAATTCCATCCAATTAATTATCATACTTTATCAGATCATATTATTATCAAAAATCACCTAAACAATTTAAGCATTTCAAAATTCCATTTCCATAACTGAACATTTTTTCAATTCCAGAACATATATATCTGTATGTATATGATTATATATGTTCTATCCTTAATAGACTTTCAAAAAAAAAATCATCTAACTAATTTAAACACACATGTATATAATTGTAAGAACAAAATTTATTTTTGATGGAAGTGGGAAACCAGTAAACAAACAAACAAAAAATAACTACATTTGGTAATATTATTTCCTCTTCCTCCTTCTTTTTGGGCAGGAATCCTTACTG